GAAGAAATATAAAGCTCTTGAAATGTTTCCCCTTCATATGCAAATGTAAATTAAACTCACCAATGGGATGAATACATGTCTTCCATATTGGCTATAAATAAACCTTAATCCAGATAGTCTGTGTTCTGTAGATAAAAAGTGGGTTAAGTTACATTATGTGGGTTTAACAACACCTCCCTGCTGATAATTCACCGTCTCTGAAAAACCCCTCCTCACTTTGAAAGACAGGTTTGGCTTCTTAATGTTTCCACACAACTTTGATCAAAAGGCAAATTCCTTCAAGTGAGAGACTCAGCGTGAAAAGCTGTAGACGCAGTAATGAGGTGTTATGGGTTTAAGGCAGAAGTCTTTTTTTGAAAAAGATTTTTTCAGCACTGAGTTTGGACAAAAGATTCTGCTCTTCACTCTTCAATATTTAATTTGTCCTGTTTTAAAGGGGGGGATTCTGTTATTTTCTATGTGTGTTCTGAAAATAAATATAGCATGAATGAAAACTGTTTTCAAGAATCTCTGACAGCATCTCAGCAGCATCAGGATCTGATTGTTCTGACAGAAACACATACTGTGTGCTCTATCCTTCAGAGTCTATCCTTCAGCACAGATGAGGAGGCTTCATCGGATCCTTATTACAAGTTTTAAAAAACATTATTTTATTCAAATCGCATATAAAATCAGGTGCAATATATTATAACCAGAGGGTTAAAAACGAATAAGAAAGCCCAGTAAAGGTCAGTTTGGTTTTAAAACATTTATGTGAAATAATAAAAGTGAAACATTGTCAGATGGTGGATTCTTTTTTTCTTACTTTGAGCAATGCTCAGTTAACCTTGCGTCCATTCTGTATGCAAAGCTAAGCTAAATGCATATTGCATATATTCATACTTAAAGACAGAAATGAAGTCGGTGTCATGCCTCTCATCCTTTAAATACATTCAAAATATTCCTGATTGTGACTGTATCTGAAATCACCCACTACTCCCAATAGTGCACTTTGAAGGAAACCTGCAATTTTGTATCATCGTCCGAGTTATGAGTGAGAATAGTTGTGAAGTATCTTGGCCCAATCCCAACGTCCGGCCTAAAAGCTAAGCACTGAACCCGCATGGACTTGAATGGCGTCAGGGCTGCAGTGTGTGAGTCAGTGAGGGCTTGTGATGGTAGAAGGATAGATACTGTAGATGGAAAGAGAGCTTTATGGTCCTGAATGGGATATTCATATTTATAGTTTCAGATTCAGATATGTTGCAGTGGGACATACTATCATGACATCACATGTTGCCTGGAAACGAGATGTCCCATAAAATTAAGATTTAAGCCCATCTTTGGATGATTTTGTATTTCTTTAAATATTTTAGCAAACTATCAATTTGGAAGAAAAAGACAGAAAATAACTTTTGAAGCAGCAGGAGCAATTCAGGGTTGAGTGTCTTGCCCAAGGACACATCGGACATGTTGCTGCAGGAGCTGGGGATCGAACCCCCAAACCGTCCGGTTGAGAGGAGACCGACTCTACCACTGAGCCACAGTCGCCCCACAAAAATAATTCACGAGGCCAGAGATTGTCTCTTAAAATGATTTGCAGGTTTTCCCATCACGTCCATGCTTGCTTTTTTTTTTTTTCACCTTCAGCAGGGCACTGGAAGATCAAGTCCCCCATGTCACCCAGTGTGTGTGCTATGAATTCTGGGTAAATCTAAGAGGACAGTCTGCAGAAATGCAGACTCACGGAACGCGTGTGATCTAGTCCACATCAGAGCCTTCACACACTTGATGCCTTTTCACTGTGGGACAGCACTAAGCACTTAAGAGACGTACAGGGAAAGTGCCTCAAAGGCTGTGAATCTGTGCGTTTGGAGATTAGGATCCAGCAACACCACGTTAGAAACCAGATCAATTTGTGAAAACACGCTACATGGAACTATAAAGATCACAATCTAAGCTTGAATATTAACAATAATTACAATAATGGTCAGAGAAATTGCAATAAAATGTAGTTCTTGAAAATTTCAGCTGCGACTACATGGCATTAATCTTAATACAAATCGAACCCTTTTCGATATTTATTTTAGTGGATATTTAGCAATGTACAGATTATTTTTCCAACACTTCTTGAACTTGACCGTGTAAAAAGCCCCTCCCACCCACAGAGCACTAAATCTTCCACGTCAGCCATGCAGTGCACGAGCTGTATTGTCTACCTGCAGTCTAATCCATTGTATTGAGTGTGGATTTGTGGCTGGGATGCTGCTGTCTGGAGTGTCTGGGAAGTCTTTGGGGAATGTGTGTGTGTGTGTGTGTGTGTGTGTGTGTGTGTGTGTGTGTGTGTGTGTGTGTGTGTGTGTGTGTGTGTACCCTCGGAGGAGAGAGAGGCAGCAGTTTAACGGCTCAGTGGCTTCACTGACAACACTTCCAAACACTCGCTCTGACATAAAAAGGTAATTTCACCACAGAGCAGCCCCAAGGAGCACTCTGTCTGCGAGCCATCTGCACCGCCTTTCTCTGCAGACAACATCATTATCATGAGGAGTTAATAACTGTAAAATCATCATTTGTCTATTAATAATGGTCTTCTGGAACATCGAGGATCATTCAGAAATCACAGCTGTAGACACAAACAGTTAATTTCATCCTATAAGTTTGCAGGATATTGACATCAACTGCAATCTGTGACTCTACATCGCCCCTGGAGGAACATGGTCGATCAGTGTGTTTACATGCAGTTTGAAAAAGTCAATTTATTGTGTAAGTCTGACTAAAACCGGACTTTGAAAATGCACGCAAACATGATGGTGCGACTGAAATCGTACAAATTTCTCACAGTCAGCATAAAAGTGGAGTGTTGCAGAGGTCACAAGTTGCCTGCCTTTAGATATCACCAAGAGCATGAAGGATAGCGTGCATCATATGTGAACCGAAAGTAAAGCATAAAGTATGAACAAAATGTTGTTGTTGAATATTTCTTGTGCCAGTTGAATCTGAAAATGGTTCAATTTGTAGGAGCTTAAATTTGGTGCTGTTTTTTAGGGCCCACGATTAAACAGCCATATTAGGAGAGAAACTACCAACAAACTGATTCAAATTATTTAAAAAAAAATACCTTGAATCTGTGGCGATGATATTTAATCACTATACTAAAACACTATCATTAAGTCGAGACTAACTACGAACTAAATAATAACACCAGACTAAGACAGCAGTCTCCTCAGGTGCATTTATTAAACAATCAGAATAACCTGCAGAGTTAAGCCTCATTAAAGGAAGAATATGTGATTTTTCACACTTAAATGTAATAGAAATCAAGTATATCCTCTGAAAATAACTCTGTGAGTCATGACTGTCTACAATGGGTGTAACACCCGAGTCCCACTGTATGTGATGTTTTCAGAGTCCTATCTTCAGTTTGTTTACATCGCCCGGACGGCCGGCTGACTCCTCCCCTCGTGTATAAAAGTTGTTTAATTGAGGGACTAGAGAAAAGAAGAATAACATACTGTACTCACTGCTTAACTGTGTTTCTAGATCACGCTCATTTCAGGTAAATTTACATGCAGTGTGAAGATACGGGCGTAATAAAGATCGCTAGCATTAGCATGCTAACACAACAATGCAGCGCGAGTTGTTTTGGTTTCTTGCTGGTGCTCAAGGGCGACATCTGCTGGATCGAAAAGTCGCACATTCTTCCTCTTATGCCTCTATTACACGTGAAAATAGATACATCATTTTATATGATATTACAGTCACTACCCAAGCACTGCCACGCATCCTTCACGTTGTGATGGACATTATAGAATGCATCCACTAGAGGGCGCAGTCTCCCACAGACCTTCACTTCTTTTTTTTGCCTGGGCGTGGTAACATCATATATGTGTGTGGTTCCTAACCAGCTCGCACTACCTTTCCTCATTATTTCAGTCATTTTCCAAAGTCTTCTTCTTCGGTGTGTTTTTCTGGTCTGGTTTAAAATGTTGGCTACACTTGCTCAACGCTGCCCCCAAGATTTCCGCTGGTATTGCAACGTTTGGTTTGTACCCGTAAGCTTCCAGAAAACGATCAGGAACACGGACAAAATGAACACAGAGTACGGGCAGAAGGCTGCATCCATGTGCATATTGGATGTGGAGTATAAATGAGCCTGAAGTCTTCTCTTTTTCGTCCAATCATAGGTTGCTTTTATTTGTTTGTGTAAATCACTGTTCACTTATCTGAGAAAATTTTATGCCTAAATTATGATTATGATCATATTATTAGTTATAGTATGTCATTATCTGTGCATTAGAGTGGCGCTAATTCTTATATCAGTAGTATTTCTCTAAGACCTAGCCTTTTAGAGAAGTTCAGCTCATGCTGCATCTCATAAAGCCTCTTTGTCTAAAATATCTGTGTTTATGTGTCTCTTGGGTATAAAGCATGCTTCCTTTACTGTATAAAAGCAGCAGTAGACAGGGGAGTGTTGAATGCCTGTTGTAAAGTTGCCCAAACTCTGAATGCAGATAATGAGGGAAGGGAAGGGTGAACAGCACCACATAATATAAAAGCTTGGATGTTTTCATTGTTGCAACGATGCAAAGAGCTTCTTTTCAGAGTTTGAAATACCTGCATCATTTTCATCAATGCTGGTAGCCAGGTCATGGAACACTGAACAGCAGATGTTGATTTTTTTTTTTTTTTTACCCTAATCTGCAAAAATAAAAAGATTACTGTGTTCCTTCTTTTTTTTTTTTTCATCCCATCTAATTCTGCCTTCTGCCTTCTTTAATAAAAGTCCATAATATAGAGAAGCAAACCGATTCATCACCAGAATCAGTGAGCTCAGTTCAAGCCCAACGTTAGACCTGCACTGTTTTAATGAGCTCAAAATGAATTCCTGAAAAAATGTCAGCACACTGACTCGGTTCTGTGCTGCATCTCCACCATTAGAAAGGTTTTTATTTTTTTTATTGTGTTCATTCTTGGAAAAAGATGCCACTGTCTGACTCTCTCTTCCTTTCTTCTCTCTGCAGCTTTCAAGAAAGAGGACAGCGGCTTTGATGAGGTAGGAACGAAAAAAAAAAAGTGAATTTTCCGGGAACTCGTGGCATCACTGGCCCAGTTTTCCTGCAGCTTCATGGCTGTACCACACTGTTCTATGTTGGCTGTATTCCTCTCTAAAAAAATTATTCAACAAGGTCTCGCTGGCCAGATGTTGTCGGGACTGCATTGCAGTTGATTTTTTTTTTTGTGGGGGGGGGGATGGTGTGATTCCTGCTGTAACTCTGTGCATATGGTGTGTAATATATTCATGTGTGGAGCGTGGTGGTTTTCCCTCTCATCTGAGAGACGTCCCTCAGGGTCACTCACTGGCCTACCAAATGAGACACTACGCAACCAATTGCACCAACCAGATCCAGTCCCTGACTCCTGTGTAGCCAGGGCTGCAGACCTGTTCACAACTAGTGTGAAATCCCAATTCTTCATTCTTATGATTCTCTGTCTTATTGGACATGCTCTGTTAAAAATATGTGGTCAGAGCACAGCTCAGTTAACAGTTTTTACTCTTTGCACACGGTCAGCTTCCGTCCAAAGACAGCAGGAAATGACATGAAAAATGAAATGATAGTTTGGATTTGAGTAGATAAAGTGTTCTGGTGTTGTGATACCTCCTGTTTCTCTCCTACACTACAAAGTGCAGGAATGTGCCTACAATTACTAAAACGCATCCCCACTCTCCTGCCTCTGTCTCAGTGTGAAATTTAAATTAAAAAGATGAATGCTTGTGTGTAAAGGTGCCAGGTGGACAGCATATTAAAAGCAAATTAGCATTTAAAAACCACTGCATGAATGCGTTTCCAATGGGATACAATCTCTCTCCAGGAAGAGGATCCACTGTATGCTGATGAGACGTATGACAGGATACATCATCATCTTTATCATTAACTTTATATCGCTTTGTTTTGCAAGTCTAATGGGACATTGCTAGCTTGACTCTGGAGCCCTGCACGTTCAAAACATGCCGATGGAGTGATATCTACATTGTCATATTAGAAAGCATGCTGGTCTACAGAACAAGCTGCCATGTTGTGGTAGTAACACGTCACCAATGCAAGAACGTAACTGGAGGTAACTGAAAGCTGCTGTGATTCCTTTGTCTCCAATGTTTGTTTCGTGAATGGTAAATGGACTTGAGCTTGTTTAGACTTCTGACACTGCAGGTCACACCTGCCCATTCATACCCATTCAAACACTGATGGCAGAGGCGGCTATGTGGAGTGTCCATCAGTATGAACTCATCCATTCATACACATTTATACGCCGCTGAAGCAGCCGGAGCATCTTGGGGTTAGGTGTCTTGCCCAAGCACACATTGGACATGTAGCTGCAGCTGAATTGGAGATTGAACCCCCAACCTTCTAGTTGAGAGACGACCGACTTTACCACTGAACCACAGACGCTAAAGTGGCTTTTTTAATTGTTCCCAGTTAAACCTCTAAAAGTCAAAAGGCAACATTTCCATGAATGTGTAAGTGTGTACAATACACAAATGTAGAATCAGCATGGGGATTATCAGCATGGGAAGTGTTTATGTTTCCTTTTTTAGTCCGAGCTGTAATGACCATCTATGCATCAGCAGGCTTTAGTATTTGCATGAAAAACAGTCTGTATAGACACAAAAATCAAGGCAGAACACAATCCGTGCCAATGGCATACGGGCTCTCATCGGCAGTAATGTCAATGTTCCATTCGTCTCGATAAACAGATAATCTGCATAAAAGTGCAGCTAATGATCCATTATATATCGAACATTTCAAATTGAGCAACACATCTGCTTGACACTGTATCTGTAAAGACAATCGGTGCTTAGATTTCCTGACAAACTGAAACACATCAGAAATAATCGACCTGCCCAGCCAACACCGATGCAAAAAATCAAACCTATCAACATTAAATAGTCCAGCTCACACACTTAACGTATCATAATCCTCTGCTGAATACATCCTGTAGATAAAATGTATTGCTCCATGACTTTTTTCCCCCCCTGCCCTCAGTGCCCCGTATAGCATATTGATTCCTCTCGCATACATTTTCTCTTCTTTTTTGCTGTTGTAGGTGGAGGGGTTGATGATGCAGTCGATAGGTCTAAAGAAACTGGGATGTTATGTTTGTATTGACAGGAGGGGAAATCCTGCTCGGTTGCTCTTTTGAGTTGAAGTAACAGTGTTCGTTCAGCAGTGGTCAACCTGCACGTACTGCAGCAGGCTGCGATTTAAAGAATCAACATTTTCTCTTTTCATTCTTCTTTGCATTGTCTGCAGGAGGCAGGGCGGTACTTAATAAATAAGTGATAAGACAACAGAATCCTTTGTGTTGAGGTGGACGACGTGTTGCTGGACCTGCTTTGTTCAAAAGAGATCTAAGGGCAAGAACAGCAGAAACATAATACATGTTGTTTAAAAAATGTCCATGGTCACTGTGTTAGCTTTTTGTTGTATTTTAAAATTGTTCTAGTAGCAAGTCATTTCCCCTTCCTTTTAATGGTGATGTCAAATAGAGCCCGACCGATTAATTGGCCAACCGATAATATCGGCCGATATACTATCGGTATCAGCTAATTTTATTGCAGATATCAGCAATATAACTAGATCTATTCAGCAGTCAAACAGCATTCCAGTCAAGTTTAGGTTGTATTACACTAGCAGTTCTCTTTCATCAGCAGAAAAAGAGCAAAGGTGGCATAGCTAAGCTCAGCCGTCATCACATCTTTTTACACTCTTTTTGATCCCGCAACAGAGTAATATTGGTGTCCCAGTCTGTAAATTCACATTGTGTTTCAGCATTGCATAAGCATGGTGCAGCAGCAGATCCACATACACACACACACAGCGCTGCGCTCCCACGCTGGCTCAGCTGAAACCGTCTCGACTCTGTAACGCCTCCTGTTACTGCCTCTGAAGACGGTACCGAAGTGGGATCACTTCGTCCCCCCCATTATGACATTCAGATTGAGGTCAACGTAAATATCAGGGCTTGAAACGACAACCTGAATAGGGCTTTAGAACAAGCTTGTTCAATGTATGTCTATATCAGCTGAGAGTTAAGAGAAACGTCAAAGAAATAATTTATTATTTATTATTATTATAGTCTTATGTACTTTTGTTTTTGTACACCTGCAAACTGTTAATCTTTTTAGTTGTGTTTTTCTACCAGAGTAAGTGTGAGCACACAAAAACATCTATGTAGATGCTGAAAAAAGTTAAAGATGGCAGGGATATAAACCAGAAGCCATCTTTTTTTTTTTCATAAAGATAACAAAGAAATGCAAAGTCTAGTTTTAAAACGAAAGAAACTCAAAGACGGAATAAAAAATGAAGGCAGGTACCTGTGAATAAACCCATGAAAAGTTTGGAAAACAAATGACGAAGAAGAAATGTTTATTTGAAGACCACAATGTGGCTGAAATGAGTGGCTGTCATTTCATGAGTAATCCTCAAGAAACCTGACAGATGCACTTCTGTTTTGCATTTTTCTGTTTTTGTCATTAGTATTACAAATATTTCATTTCAGTCATAATGTCCAACATTGTTTTAGTTTCTTTTTCCCCCCAATAATTTTCTATTTTTTGCCAACACAAGGGGAAACCATTAGCGTTCATTCTGCAGCCTCAGCTGTGTTGTGGTGTTTGAAGGGGCATTGAGGAATGCTCCACTGTAAGATTTTCCCACTGGGCCTTTTTTGTTTTTGGGAGAAGACTTTATTTTTTGAGGGTAATGATACATGAGTGTTCCGATAACACAGACAGCACACATATCTGGCAACAGGACTGCTTGTCATTTTCCTGGGATTATTTGGATAAGAAGATATAGCCCATGTTTTGTTTTGAAACGGACCATATCTAGAAGTTGGTGCCATGAGAATCAGTGTGGGCCATTTGCTATAAATGGGCCTTGCTGCTGAGGAAGAATGTAAAGAATTTAAGAAGGAAAAAATAGTCCTTCCTGTACAACAACATGAAGATTGATTAGTGGCAGCTACAGTATGTGAATGTTTGGGAGTTTGGCTTCAAACACTAGAGTTGCATCCATTGTACACGAGCAGGCATTATGTACCTTATGTAGACAGCAGTGAGAGCTTCTTTGCCACTTGTTTGTTTTGACTGATATAACATTTGTCAATGTGAGAATATGTATATTTAAAGTATAGACATTTGAATGGTTGGTCAGAGGAACGCCTAAAGATTCAACCTCAGCTAAGATTTGCTTCTTGTTCCCTGTCAATCCGAAGTTGGACATCTTCACATGACATAGTTTGCAGCAGGGTTAGAAACGAGCACCCACCACCTGCCAAATGCGTGTGTTTTTGTGCAGAGTGATTAGAGACAGAATACAACTTAAATTGAATCCCAGTTGTCTGCTTGTTCCAGTCCAACTTTTAGAGCAGAGCTAGGTGGTCCTACACGTTCACTGACCACAGCGCTCCGCCTCCTTGTGTCAGAGCAGGTGTCGGTGTTTACAGTGATAGGCTTTGTTTTGAAACTGGCTTGACTCTGTCACTTGAGCCCAGCGCAGCATGAATTCGTATATCCATTACAACGGGTCTATTTGCTGAAGATGTGTTTAAAACAAAGCCTCGCTGCCTTACGTCCAAGATGATTAAAAGAAGCGTGATTTGGCGGTGACTCGTGGTCAATTGATCGACTATAAATACAGCGTTATTGGAAATAAGCTCTGCTAAAACGCTGTTAATTCAATGATAAACACATTCCATTTCCAACAAATCCTTACCGTAAAAGTTCCCGGTTTATATTTTGCTGAAGTGCTTTTATTGTGAAACAGCCACATCGAGAAACAGGGTTGTTTTCAGCTTTCGCAATTTAACAAATAGCGCAGACATGAAGACATAGCTGCCATGGAAACTCTTACCAGCCTCAAAATAATAAACCAAAATATCAAAAATAAAAGTTTTTTTCTGTTTAGAATTTAAAAGCATGTCAGTATTTTCTGTAGTATAGTTGAATCATTTGCCTTTACACAATTAGCCTATAACTTGAATAATATAAAC